TCGCTAATTAACTAACTAAAAAAGACTTATCCCCCTGTTTGAGCTGATGTATAATTAAGGTATGAGTACAAAGAATTTGTCTCAAAAGCTAAATTAGAATGTAGGAGGCAAAACCTGAAAATTTTCAGGTAGTCCTTTTTCAAAATACAAACTTCTGAAAGTCTTATCTATTCTTCCAGTAAATCATTGAGAAGCTACCATAGGTGAGGTACTCTGATCAGTGCCATGAGGGAGATAGAGACAAATAGTTTCTTTCTATACCACTTTATAGAAGGTTAATAATCCAATAAATGCTTCCTGAAATGTGGTCCTCTTAGGCCATGCCAAGTGACTGGTTGAGTTTTCTATAGTTAGGGCAGAGTTGACTGATGTAAGCATCAAGGCCTTTTCGTTTTAAAATAAATAGGAGTGGTTGATAGAGACATGGAACACACTTGAATCCTTTTTAATCCTTTTTTAATTATGTGGAATCATCAAATGAGCACAGCGTCACACTGAACCAGAATGCAGTCATGCTCACAGGGCTCAGCACGTACCAGCCTATTCTATCTGGCACACATGGCTTCAGGCCGTTTCACTTTATTATCATTGGCACAGTTAATGATTGTTATTTAATGAGCCTCCTCTTTTACATTTTAAGAACTTGTTAAATGTTAAACACTTTTTAACCCTCACCACAGCCTCTACGAAATAGGTACTGTTTTTATCTTTTAAAAAAAATTTTCAATGACAGTTGACATACAGTATTATATTAGTTCAGGTGTACAACATAGTGATTATTCTTTTATATGCCTTAGGAAGTGGTCACCTCAATAAGTCTAGCACCCACCTGATGCCATACATAGTTATTACAATATTACTGACTATATTCCCTATACTGTACTTTACAGCCCCATGACTATTTTTGTAACTGGCAATTTATACTTCCTAATCCCTTCACCTTTTCCACCCATCCTTCAAACCCCCTTCCATCTGGTGGTGATCAATTTGTTCTCTGAATCTATGAATTTGTTTGTTCATTTATTTGGTTTTTTTAGGCTCCACATAAGTGAGATCATATGGTGTTTGTCTTTCTCTGTCTGACTTATTTCACTTAGCATAATACCCTCTGGGTCCATCCATGTTGTTGCAAATGGTAAGATTTCATTTTTTCTTTTGGCTGAGTAATATCCCATTGTATGTATCCATTCGTCTATCAGTGAACACTTAGGTTGCTTCCATATCTTGGCTATTGTAAATAGTGCTGCAATGATCATAGGGGTGTATATACAATATCTTTTCGAATTAATGTTTTGAGTTTCTTTGGATAAATACCCAGAGGTGGAATTGCTGAATCATAAGGTAGTTCTATTTTTAATTTTTTTGAGGAAACTCTGTATTGTTTTGTGTAGTGGTTGCACCAATTTGCAATCCCACCAACAGTGTATGAGGGTTCCTTTTTGTCCACAGCCTCTCCAACACATGTTATTATTTGTCTTGTTGAGGACAGCCATTCTGACAGGTGTGAGGTGTTATCTCATTATGGTTTAATTTGCATTTCTCTGGTGATTAGTGACATCCAGCATCTTTTCATATGTCTATTGACCATCTGTATGTCCTCTTTGGAGAAATGTCTGTTCAGTTCCTCTACCCATTTGTTAATTGGATTGTTTGGTTTTTTTGGTGTTAAGTTGTATGAGTTCTTTATAAGTTTTGGATATTCACCCCTTATCAGATGTATTGGCGAATATCTTCTCCCATTTAGTAGGATGTCTTTTCATTTTGTTGATGGTTTCCTTTGCTGTGCAAAAACTTTTTAGGTTGATGTGGTCCCATTATTTTTTTCTTTTGTTTCCCTTGTCTGAGTAGATATATCAGAAAAAATATTACTAAGAGCAATGTCAGAGAGCATACTGCCTATGTTTTCTTCTAGGAGTTTTATGGTTTCAGGTCTTACATTTAAGTCTTTAATCTCTTTTGAGTTTATTATTGTATATGGAGTAAGAAGGTGGTCCAGTTTCATTTTTTGTGTGTGTACCTGTCCAGTTTTCCCAGTGCCATCTATTGAATAGACTGTCTTTACCCCACTGTATGTTCTTGCCTCCTTTGTCATACGTTAAATCATCAGGTGTGGGCTCTCGATTTCTGGGCTCTCTATTCTGTTCCATTGATCTATGTGCCTGTTTTTATGCCAGGACTGTGCTGCTTTGATTATCACAGGCCTTATAGTATAGTTTGATATCAGGCAGCGTGATACCTCCAATTTTGTTCTTCCTTCTCAAGATTGCTGTGGCTATTCGGGGTCCTCTGTGGTTCCATATAAATTTTAAGATTATTTGTACTAGTTCTGTGAAAAATGCCAGTGGTATTTTGAATAGATTGCTTTGGGTAGGATGGACATTTTAGTAATGTAAATTCTTCCTATCCATGAGAAGCACTGTTCTTATTTTATAGATGGCAACACTGAGGCTTAGAAGCGCAAGGACACTTGCCCACGTTCATGAAGTTTGTGGGTGCTCAAGTCAGGATTCAAACCCAAGTGTACCTTCGGCACTTGACCTTGGTTTTACTGTTCTGCAGGACCAATCTTGTATCTGAATTCTGAAGTCTAAAAAGCTCTAAAAATTGAAGTTCGTTTTTCATACCTTTGATGCCAATACGCATTGCATGACAAAACCTGACTTGAGGCCATGGTCTTTATCCTGCTGAGTGTAAGTGTGCAGATTTCACTGCATCTATGTTGTGTCTATATAATAGCATATTACACAGTGGATGCATATACTCCTTTTTACTTTCCTAAAATATGAAAACCTTTGAATTCTGAAACCATTTAGCCCTGTGAGTTTCCAGAACAGATGTGGACCTAACTGACTCTTGCCACCTGGCGCCTGCCAGCCCGCTCTCACGTCTCACGTCCCTCCGTCTTCACCCCAGCCCTGTGCTTCTAATTTGCTGCTCCGAATATGCTTTGGATGTGGAAATCTAAGCATGTAAACGTTCTCTACCCAAAAAACTCAGCTAATTTTTTAAAATCCTGAGTTCATATGGATACTCCCAGTTCCAATTCAACAGCACAAGGTTCTTCCTCTCCTCCCCCACCCCCTAACTTCCTTCTCCTGCAAGGAGAATGTCAATATTTCTTTTGTGCTTTTTAAAAAAAGTTCTTTCTATTTAACCAAGGTGCAAAGTATTTCTCCTGGTCTGTGAAAATGTAGACGTTCATTTTAACTTAGATAATAGGTCCTTCATTTTATAATAAGATTCACTATGAGTTTATAAATATCAGCATCTGAAATGCATTTAAAATGATTCACCTATAAAAATTCTATTTTTATAAAGCATTTTAGGAATGATATATACTTTATAAAGCAATACAACCAGAGTCATTTTAAAGGTTAACCTTCTAAGGCCAAATGAATGCATATGGAGTAAGAGGCTGGAAGGTCATTGCTGAGAATTACACCCTTTTTCCTTTCTTGGAGTATTTCCCTTAGGGGAAAAGTGAAAGACAGAATCATTGATTAAATATTTACTGAAGGCCCTCAGTATACTCACTTAGAAGGGCGGAAGTAGGGGATGGATTGTGGAAGACTAATCTTTTGTTCTAACATTTTTGAAAATGGAGACAACGGGTGAGGTGTCAATTGGGGGGGAGAAGAAAGGTTCTGCAGGTGACTTTCAAAAGTGGGTTCTTTGATTTCCAGTCTTATTTGGTGGCGAGAGGAAAGGACTAAACCAAAATCTGGCTGGAAGTGCTGGAAAATTGGATTTACTTCTTCATCTCTAATTTGTGGCCTTGATCACATTTGGAAGAAGGAGTGTTTGGAGGCAACAATTATTAGATGAGCTTCCGTCTTTCTTGGCCCCGAGGTTGCCCATTTCCCAACAGCCTCCAGGGCATATGGAGCCCCAGGAAGGCCTATTGAGTATGAGGGAGTTGGGAGGGACCCATAAGTATCACAGAGGTCAGAAGAAGGACAAATGTTTATTGAGCACTTAACTCTGTGTCAGGCTCCGCACACATCATCACAGTCCTTACAAAAACTGAAGTTGCAGTCCCATTTTACAGCTTAAGGCAGCTGAAACCCAGAGAGGGTAAGAAGTTTATGAAAGGTGTCCCACCCCCAAAGTGGAGGAGTTACGGCTGGAGCACATTTGTGCCCCCAAAGCCTCATGTCCTTTCTATCACGTCCTCCATCCCCCAGCCATCATCTGATTCACAGCAGGGCTGAGGGACTGAGGGCCCGGCCAGTCATGGAAAACTACCCAGGTCACATGGCAGCCGGGGAAGGGGCTCAGGTTTCCTCTTTCAGGTGGCAGGTACCTTTTCTCTCACTGTGTCCGAGTTATGTAAATTTTGTGCACAACCATCCCAGGGCAATCAGCAGCAGATTCCCTCTCCTCTGTTTTTATAGTCAGCAGTGTCTTACTTACCCTCTCACATGTGCCATGGTCAGCCACTGTGCTTCTGAGCACACCTGTGGGCTGGTTTCTCTGGCACATCCGGAGTTCCTGTGTCTCGGTCAGAGGTGGGGCCTGTGGCTGCTTCCCTGAGTGGCAGAGCTCTGGTCCTGAAGAAACACGTTTGAAGAAAATGTCAGTTTTCAGCAGGTGAGTAGTTGCAGAGTGGATCGTTTGCCTAATGGAAAGCCCTCTGAACAGGAGTGGATTGACATGTTCTCCTACTTTTGTACTTGGCAGTTTCCCCACAGCGTTTATTTGAAAACAAATTCAGATTAGATCCCAGGTCACTTTTATGTTGCTGCTGGTAACACCAGGAACGTGTTTGTGTTTAAAAAAAAAAAAGCTGATTTCAAGGTTGCCTCTTGGAATTCATGGCCTTTTTCCTATTCTAATTAAATTATTTTCTTCAACTTGCTATTTTGGAGGATAAAAATGTAACTAGAGGCTGCAGGATTATTTAATTTTCTCTTCCCAACCAGTAACTGTGCTACCAGGGAAGCATTCATTATTCCATCTGTTAGATTGTAAATCATGGACCATTTTTCATCTCTTCATAGGGAGAGATAATGCGTGCGAGAAAACTTCATACATGTTTCTGCGAAAGGAGCTTCCTGTGCGTCTGGCTAACACAATGAGAGAAGTCAACCTTCTGCCGGATAATTTGCTTAACCGCCCTTCGGTGGGGTTGGTTCAGAGCTGGTAAGTAAATACTGTGGCTTCCAATGGGTGTTCCCATGATGCTCTGAACATTTGGCATTGGGACCATTTCCCTAAAAGTACATGTACTGTTTGTGTGGGAATGAGCCACTCAGGATTGCCGGATTTCCCAGACAATTAAAAGTTGTTTATTCTTTAACTGACAGTTTAAAATTGTCTTAATGAAGATACTTCTAACTGGTACTAGACGCTTTCTTGAGTTTTCAAATTTTAGTTTTCTGCTTATGAATGTGATTGCTCATTGAAAAAAAAAAAGGAAAGTACAGGAAAATAGAAAGGAACAGCAATGCAATGACCCAGGTGAGCAGGTCTGCAGTCCTTTAGATGGGAGATGTTGCTGCAGTCAAGTCTCAGCCGTGCTCATTTTGTTTCTTTTAAAGAAGTTTCTTGGAAACAGTACTTCTTTTAGAACAGATGAACTCATTTAAAGGGACCTCAGATTGGAAAAATATCAGTACCTGCTGCACTGCATTTGGCCTGTGAAAAGTCTGAAAAATCTTAACAGTATAACTTAAAGTTCAATCCGGTATAGCTCTGCTGCTGAAAGCGTGTGTGACTTACTTGAGCAAGTTGCGTTTGGTTTGTGAGCACACTGCCCATTAGGTAAGCAGGGTGAGGCTGGTGAGTGGTGGGATGTAAGAGAAGGTGGTGTATTTTTAGAAAGGTATTTGCATATATATTCGAGAAACACTTGCACGTCTCCTCTGTATTATAAAAAGCAAGGTAGAAGTCACTGTGGAGAAAGCCGGAGGAGTTTGGGAGGCTGGAGACGGAAAATGCTCTCAAGTCAGTACAGAGGAAGTGCTATGGGCACCTGAAGGAGCGGTGCCAGCTGTGGCTTTGTGAGTGGATGGAATTGACAGGGACAGGGAAAGCATTTTAGGGGTAGGGAGCGATGTGGACAGATGCAAGGAGAATGAAACTATTCGTTAGCTTGTGTCTAGGGGGTTAGGGGAGGCCAGGCTGCTGGAAGAGAATGGCCATTCACTAGTCATTCCTCCATAATATCAATTACCATAAATTCTTAGGGCTGAGAAAGAACCATCTGCGAAACATTTTTTGGGGGGTCTTAGAGATACAGTGAGCAGTCCCTGTCCCAGACAAGCAGCAGCTCCTCACTGAGGAAGCACAGGGGCCCTGGAACCCAGGAGAGAGCAGAGAGATGGTGACTGTGGCTTTGATCTCATAGTCATTCGCTTTCTACCCTAAATCCATAGCTTGTTTCAGAAAGAGCAGCAAGTACTTGTTCACGTGAGACTTCTTCATTGCTCCAAGGCCATCATTAGAGATTTCTAGCCAAAAGTATATAAGCACTCTTGGGGGCTACTGTGGTAGGGATTCTAGGCAGGCTAGATGACTTTCAAGTCCCCTGGTCCTGGTGGCAGTGACAGTGAACATTTACTATCACTTATATAAAAGTTTCTTCAGGGGCTTCAAAGCGAATGGCTGGCAAAGTATAAGCTCAAATACTGTGTCGGCTCTTTTCGTGTCTCCTCACCATTCCTCTCCCGTAGCTGTTCTAAACATATACATGTCTTTTCTTCCTTTTTTTAAACATTCAATTTTGAAGTAATTCCCTACTTAACAGAAGGGTTTGCAAAGCTAGCAGCAAGAATTCCCATATGCGTACCTTCACTCAGATTCACAAATTGTTAACATTTGTTCTAGCATTCTCATTCATATTCTCTCTCTTTCTCTCTCTCTCTCTCTCTATCTCTATCTCTCTATCTCTATCTCTATCTTTATCTCTCTCTGTATGATATCCCACACATATATACGGTACGCACATACATATATAATGCATGCACACATTAATTTTTTTCTGAACTCTTGGGTTAGTGGTAGACATCATACCCCTTTACCCCTAAATACTTTAGTATGTATTTTCTTAGAACAACTCTTAGAAAACCACAGTATGAAAAAAAAAAAGAAAACCACAGTATGATTATTAACTTTGGGAATTTAACATGGATCCAGTAATATTTGCCAATATGTAGAACTTGTTCTCATTTCATTAATTATCCTAATAGTGCTCTTTTTTCTTTTTGGTAGTAACCCCCGCCTCCCCAATTAGGAATCCAATTCAGGATCAAGCATTGTGTTTAGCTGTCATTCCCTTTCCCTCTTAAAAGCGGCTCTTACACATAACGGGCCGTGAACCCCACCTCAGTCAGAGTGTGTTGTCCTTGTACTCTTGACCTTCAGGCTAGGAAGCTTGGCATAATCTTTGACTCCTCTCTGTGTATGACTTTGCTCTTTTAGTGAACTATCCCCTTTGGGAAGGATGGGATACTTGCCTAAAATTCTGCTGGCACTGGCAGGGCAGAGGGCATCACCATGGATGGCTGACTGCCTCCCAGGGTGGTTTGACCCGATGTTTTTGACAATATCTAATCCTTAGCCTTATCTGTCCAGAGACTTCAGAAAAATACACCCAACGATGAACACACTTTAGTATCATGCATTGTCACACAGTTCAGTGAGGCTGATTAATAAAATGTCATTTCTGTTTATGTATTTATGTGCTTAAGAGTCATTTTTAGTTACTTAAGTACCCTCATCCTGTATCCAAAGCTGGCTAGTAGGATTAGTGGTAATTAACTGTTAGACATAATTAGAATAAGATATAATTCTTTCAGGACATGGTAAGACCCAAAGCAGGGATCACACACCTCTGAGTAATTGGAATCTCTGAATCCCCACCGGATCCAGCCGGTCCTGCCTGGGTGTAGCCACCACAGTGAAGTGCCTCTCTAAATCCCATTTTTCTGCATTTTCTAGACCTTTATGTTGGACACATCATTTCTTGTACTGGCCCTGATTGAGATATGTAGCTATTCTTAATCCCAAAGCTGTTTCTTGGGGCTTAAGAGGGTTTAATCCTGAGAAGGAACCCTCTTTATTTCTAGTTTCTAAGTTCTTTGCATGCACTTCAGTCTGACACATGTGCATCTGACGATTTATACATACTCTCTTAGATATTCAAACTATAGACTTGGTGTATCAGTTAGGATATGTTTGTAAGCAGCGGAAAATCTGACTAAACCTGGCTTAAACAATGCATTGGCTTGTGTAACTATAAGATCCAGCCATTGGATGAGCTTTTGGTATTGGTTTGATTCAGAGATTCATGAGTTTATCAAGGCCCTGCTTTCCATGGTGTCGGTTTCATCATCAGACTGGATTTCCTCCTGGTGACAGAATAGTTGCAGCAGTTCCAGGCTTCCCATCCACATAGCATGCTGTACAAATGCAGAGCAACTTGACTTTTCGCCCAAGGACTTCAGCAAGTCTTCTTGCTTATCTTACTGGTCTGAACTGAGGCACTATGCCCATTACTGAGCCAATCCCTTTGTTCAGGGATATGCAATGCAGTGACTGGCTTAGACCTAGACTATCGGACTCATTAGGAATTAGGGACAAGAGAAATAGGATTACCCAGAGAAAGTCGGGCCACCCGGGAGCTTTGCGTGGCATCAGCTCCCCCTGAAGCACTTGAGCTGCATTGCGGGGTGGGGGGGAGGGATGGGATGGGTACCCGAGTGAGAATGTGGAGTACTCTAAGGAGGAGGGAAAAGAGGAATGGGTGTTCGGTAGGCAACTAACACAGTTAACTCTTCATTTTCAGGTACATGCAGAGCTTCCTTGAACTTTTGGAATATGAGAATAAGAGCCCTGAGGACCAACAGGTCTTGGATAAGTAAGTATGGTGCCAAACTTCCCTGAAAGGAAAAAGATCTAGGTAAAAAATGTTTTGGTAAAGGGAACTCATGTCATTAAGAACCAAGAAGTATAATTTGGACAAAAGCATTAGGTTTCTTAATGGGTAATGACTCAACATTGCATTTTAAAAAAATTGAGTTAAGAATTTACCAAGTTCCAAAGGAATAATGACACTTCAAGTTATGCTTCATGATCTAATTCTTAATACTTTTTTACTCATGGGGACTCGCTGTAAATATTGCAGGAAATGTTCCACCCAGTGGTGGTTTTGAGAATGCAGTGGACTCTTTGAGAATGTATATACATGAATTTATCTACTCAGCCCTTTACAATTTCAAAAAGGTTTTTCAATGCAATATTACATTTGAGCTCGGAAAAACTATAATTGGTTTTTTTTTGAGAAGCAGAAAACAATATGCTTTTTATATAACAACCTGAATTCTATTGCTGCAGTTATGCACAAAGACCGCTAAATTCTCATGCTGATGGAAAATGTTTGTTTTTCATTTAACCAGAAAGCAGTAAACTTAGCTCCGAGTATGTTTTTTTACCCCCAAGAGAAATCCCCTTCACATTACTTTCCTTCCTGTTTCATGTACACGTGAGTGAATGCATATGGCAAGCCTATTGTGCTGAGGAGTTTCTTTCTAAGTAGAAACCTGGTGCACACAATTGTGAGACTGAACACCTCCCATATAAGTGTTCCATAAAAAGAACTAGAGAAACACCATGTTATACAAGACCTTAGCTCGAGACATTTAACCCAGCCCTCTCATTCCCAGATAAAGAAACTGAGGTCACAGGTGTGAGGTGACGTGCTCGAGATCGTAACATTTGTTAGTAGCAGAGCTGGATCTGTAAACCACATTTCCTTGTCCTTCGTATGTGCCTCTTTACAATGTACCATACTTCCAGAACTGCTGGTTTGAGCTATGAGCAGCTAGCTCAAGTTCAGTTGTAAATTAAAATACAAAGGGGAAAAAAACTCCTGACCTGTTTTCTACTTTGTTTTGTGTAATGGATCTGTGAAGTATGGAAGGGAGGCATTGGCTTAGAGCCCCAGGTGCAGTGTTTTCCTTGCTCTCAGCTCTTGCCGTCATTTAAGATATTAAAATTAGATGAATCGAACCCAGAAGTTTTGTTTTCTCAGAAGTCATTAGCTAGTAACAATTTGTTTGGCCGAGATCCTAAAAATTAGGCCTGACAAATTTTAGGATATAGATTTGGGAACATGGAGGATATTCCATTTCTGCTGTGCAGTTCCCAGAGTCCTGTGTCAGTTTCTAGAACAGGTTGTCAGTCCGATGCAATTTATGGACGTGAGCCTGCTTTATAAACTGCCAAATGCTGGATCCAGTGTGCACAAGATCATAATGATAACAGCTCTCACTCAGTGAGTTTCGGCCACTTGCCCAGGTTCATGCAGCTGGTTAGGAGAGTTGGGATTTTAGAAGCCCGATGCTCCTGGTCAAAGAAGGAGTGAAAGGTGAGTGAGTCATTTGACTCATAGCAGTAGCCTTTTCTGTTCAGCGAGAGGTTATATAGGAGTCACAGGCAGGGAAATAATTTACCTAACGTGAAAGTAGCTTGGAGGACCAGCATGTTTATATAATGATAACGTTTAGAAGAGCCCCAGGAGGTTAGGGAAGTATTCTGAGAACTGAGCCATTAAGACAAATCCTCCCTTCAGGTCAGTTGAGGCACTTGTCTACTTGAATTAATTGTTTCACTTTAGTACTGTGTAATTTATATTGGGAAGAGCATTATGTAAAGAACAAATTGTCCACCATAAAATTTCTTATGAATAAGTTTGACCAAAGTTCAGAATTCATCTTTACTGTCTTTGTATGTATTTATTACAGAAATATTTCATCATTGAGAAAAATAAGACTATTCAGCTAAGTAAAGTCACTCCAAATTTCCACTGCACTGCTAGGGGACAACCACTGTTCACATTTTTTCTTCCATCCATACTTTTAACTAGGCATACACATTTCTGTAAGTATAAGATATGTTTTACAAAAATAACAGTGCCGACATTACCGATCTACACCATTATCAGTAGTTTCACAGTGGTCCATCTACAGATAAGTCATGGGATTCGACCTCCTATCATTGGGGCTTAGAATGCTTTCTAATTTTCTCGCGACTATGAACAGTGCTGTAAAGAATAGCTCTTAAATACAGCTGTTGCCCTTGTCCCAATATTTTCCTGGAATCAGTTCCCGGGAGTGGAATGACTTTCTTGGGCTTTTGATACATGTTGCTAAATTGCCCCTAGAAACGCAGCAGTTATGCTTCCACACTATAGCTGACCTTGGTCATTGTTTGCCAGTCTAATAAGTGGAGAATCGTATTGCATTGGTTTGTTTTGTTTTCCTTTTATTATTTGTGAAGGTGAAATTTTTGGCATTTGCGTTTCCTCTGGTAAATTTCCCATTGACACCAGATCCCTTGCCTAGTTTTCTATTAGGGGGCTCATCTTGTCCTTTACTAAGGAGAGTAAGTTTTGCAAATATATTTTGCCCAGTTTTCACTTTGTTTTTTGACTTTATAATGTATGTCCCTATAAAATTGCTGAAATTCTACATAGCCGTGTTGTTTGTTTCTTCATAGTTTCTGCCTTTGGTGTTAAGCTTAGGACAGCCTTCCTTACTCCAAGGTGATATTTACTCAGCTGGTTTTCTTTTTTCTGTGATTTAACCTTTTAAATCTAAATCTTTTAACCCACTTTTTGGCTTAGGCTTGAAATTGGGATGTGACTTAACTTGTTAGCCAGCTGTCCCAACTAATTTGAGTGTTTCCCTGCTGACTTCCAGTGTCACTCCATCAATATGCTAGATTTTTATATACACATACTCACTCAACATTGGGCCTGGTTCCAAGCTTTTTATTTGGTTCCATTGACTTGTCTTTCTCTTCTTAGTTACTATTCTTAATGTATGTATTTTCCCTCTGCATCTTTATAAAATATACCATAATACTTGAGTAGGTTTGTTTTAATTGTCTTTGTTCTATCTACATTTTATCATTATATTTTACTGCTGTGAGAAATTTATTTCAAAATTGTAATCTTCAAAAGTTTGACATTATTTATTCATGGAAGCAATTGCTTTGGGACTCCCTAATAAATCCTTGGAAATTTTTTTGGATTGTCCTCATGTTGTCAGAATAAATAATAATGTTCTGTAATTATTTATTCAGCAAACATTTATAGAACCTGTACTATATGTAATCACTCATCTAAAAAGTCAGTGGATTCCTAAAAAGGTATTTGAGCATTTTTTCTTTACTAGAACCTTTTATACTTTTTGCATCTCTGAAAGAAGAATTTCCGTAGGAAGTTTCAAACAAAAACATAGGTAATACTTGAGTTTCTCGTGCGTTCTTCCTTGTAGCCTATAATGATAATGATGTCTCTACCTATAAAAATACCGGCAGACCGGAGATGGAGCTGGGAAGTTGATGCATCAGCCATGCGATATAAAGACTGACCACTTTTGTTTCCCTCCTACACAGCTTTCTGCAAGTTCTGATTAAAGTCAGAAATAGACACAACGATGTAGTTCCTACAATGGCACAAGGAGTGATTGAATACAAGGAGAAGTTTGGGTTCGATCCGTTTATTAGCAGTAACATCCAGTATTTCCTGGATCGGTTTTATACCAACCGCATCTCCTTCCGCATGCTTATTAACCAGCACAGTAAGTTGGGGTTTTGGTCCAGTTTTGAAATGGTAACTGGCGTGATTTCTCCCAAATGTTTTTCTGTTGCTTCACTTTTAATTTACAGATCTGTATTTTTGTCTGTAGAAACTTCATTTCTAGTTTCTAGTTCAGTTTTTTTCTAAGTAAATCCTATCTATTAAAGAGCTATTCATTAGTAATTTTTTTTTTTTAGCTGAGCCATCCTGCTACCTGTTTGGCAGCTCAGTGGCAGCTCAGCTCAGGCCGGGAATCAAACTGCTGTTGTTCAGAGCTCACACTCTTGAGCGAGCTCTTAACCAACTGAGCCACTTGGCCGGCCCTCATTAGTATTCTTTGTTAAAGGAAATCCTTGAAAGGCCTGCCTTTTAAGCCTCTGCTGTTACATTCCTGGTGGAGGGGAGGCTCCAGCTTTAATGGCAGCTGGGCAGTCATCTCTGAATACTTTCATGTGTCTCTGAGAGAATGTTCTAGTCTTTATCCAGGATGTTAGGTGTTTCCCCTTTTGGTTTTAAAAACATTGGTCCTGGGAATATTGAATTGGCATGTTGACAATATGAGCAATCAATCTTTTATTTCATAATGATCAGTGAAATCAGATTAAGTGAATTGTTAAACCATAATCTCATCTTGAGAGTTTTAGTCCACTCTCCAGGCTGATAAGCAGATTAGAAAAAAATAACTTAAATTCCCTCCACAAAAAACTTTTTGGCTAATTTTCAGCATTGTCTCTTTGCCCAGTTTCATCATTCTTATGAAAAAGCATCCACCCGTCTAGAATTTAAATCATCCTCTTTGGTGAATCAGAAAATGGGCACTGCATCTTTATTTTACTAATTTTATTTGGATAAGTGAATGTTATACAACAATTAAATGTGGGTTGGCCCAAATGTATATCTTTTAAAAAACAGAAATGCGTGACAATTTACAGAAAATTTGAAGGAAAAATAAAGAACCTAAATACTATTTAACTAAACTACTTAGATAACTACAATTTCTTTTCAACCTAAATATGTGTGTCTATGAATATGTATACATGTTTCGAGGTCACTGACTAAGCTTGTACACTTCTGTTTTTCTCTCACTTAATAAGTTGGAACTTTATGTATTGATTAGCCTAATACCCACATTTGTCATTTTTAAAAAAAAGATTTTATTGGGCTGGCCGAGTGGCGCAATGCTTAAGAACTAACTGGCTTGGGATGCCAGAGGGCGCCGGTTCGGATCCCACATATGAGGGCCAGTGACACTGCCCTCCACAGCTAAGATGCTGAACAACAGCTCAACCTGGAGCTGGGCTGCCGTGAGTCGTCAGCGACGGCGTAGGCTGCAGCCCCTGTGGCAGTGGGTTGCCATGGGCTACCGTGTGTGGCCGGCAGCCAGCGTGAGCGGCCAGCAGCCGCAGTGCGCGGCCATCCAAAAGCCAGCGACTGATCTGCCTCACCCGGGAAGAGCGCAATGATGGTGCCAACTTGGGCCAGTGAAGCAACGTCCTCCACAACTAGACTGAAGAACAAAACGACAGCAACTTGTCTGTTCCCCTTCCCCTAATTCCCCAATAAAAATCTAAAAAAAAAAAATTTTATTGGGGAATTGGGGGAGGGGAACAGACAAGTTGCTGTCCTTTTGTTCTTCAGTCTAGTTGTGGAGGACGTCGCTTCACTGGCCCATGTTGGTATTGTGATCATTGCACTCTTCCCGGGTGAGGCAGATTGGTTGCCGGCCATTGGATGGCCGCTCATGGCAGTTCATGGCAGCCCAGCTCCAGGTCAAGCTGTTGTTTACCATCTTAGCTGTAGCGGGCGCAGCGTCATTGGCCCATGTGGGGTCCGAACCGGGGCCCTGCTGCTCAGAGCTGGCATCCCAAGCCAACTCTTAACCAATGCACCACTTGGCCGGCCCTGTCATTTTCTTTATAACTTAAAATCTCCCCTATTTTATTTAAGCATTCTCCTTTTGTGGAATCCAAGTTAGTCCCAATTTTTGTTTGATTTTTAAAATAAGTACACAAATGCATAAATGAATAAATAAATTTCATTTCAGGTTTCTTTTTTCTTTGGGGTTCCTTTTGGCTTTTATTCAGAAGTAAAATTTTGCTAATCTTGTGTATTATGAAAATATTTGCATGCACTTTTAAAAATACTTGAACAAATACTGTTTGTGTATACGGTACTGAAAAACAATCTCCATGGTAGAGGCATTTGAAATGTTCACAGGAAGACACTCTGCAAGCCTGGCCTAATGGTGCAAACTGTGTTTCTAAATATTTAGTCAGTGTTGGAATAAATGTCTGCAGTAGTACTGAGAAGGTGGGTAAGCTTGGCGAAGGATGAAAGGAATTTTTTTCCTCCACGCCACATTGGGTCGGGAAGAAAGGGTTGGATACCTGGCATGTGTCACTGATTTAGGACCTGCTAACTGCAACTGGCAGATCTTAAAACATGTCGTTCCTCCTTTGTTGTCCCATAGTTGATCACCCATCATTGTATATATTCTGTGACTTTAAGTCACTGTGGGTGCTAAAATGATTCTTGCAAATAACAGAATCCTTACAAAACTTATAAACTTCTATAATTCTCTGCTTGACTATCCCCACCTGCTTTGTTTTAATCTCTTCCCTTTCCTTTTGTGTTTGTTTAGCACTTCTGTTTGGTGATGACACTAATCCTGCTCATCCTAAACACATCGGAAGTATTGATCCCACCTGCAACGTGGCTGATGTAGTGAAAGGTAAGGAGACCACTGTAACGTTAGCAGTTGTATAATAGTTCAAATAGGATTGAGGTGTAATGGAGGCAGCCTGGCCATAGGGTTAAGTTGCTGAGTTGTTTGCTGAGTCATCAGGCCACTCTGGGCCCAAGCCACTTGATGCAAATATGCACCGAAATAGGCAGTTCGGGAAAAGATGGGTAATTCGTAATGCTCGAAATAGGAGTTTCTCCTTCATTAATTGGGCTTTTACTTGTAGTTCTATCTTAAACTGTACACATTTATCAGGTTAAATAAAGAAATTCTAAGTTTTGATTGCCACCATTATCTGAAAATTTCAGAGAATGCAAATCCTTGTTATAAAATTGGGGTAAATTCATGTGCTTGTAAAATTTAAACATCTTTCTGATGTGCACCCCAGGCTTTAGAATCAACATGGCATGTGGGCCTCATGAGGTCACTGTGCATGGAGCTAGACACTGTCCCAGTAGCCTTAGGGTAGGATAGAGCCCTAGATCTATAAGTCCTCAGTGCCCGGGGTATTTCAATCTGAATGGCGGTTTCCTCATTATTCATTTAAGTATTAAGGTCACTCTGTGGAGCCTCCGATCCCCAAAGTGTCTCTTCCCAACATTATATCTCCTACTGTGGCTCTCCTCTCCCTCCTGTAAACACACACTTAAAAGTTTTCATGGGTAGCAGGATGGCTCAGCTAAAAAAATAAAAAAATAAAAGTTTTCATGACCACCTGGTCTTCATCAAGGCTCTTTGGTGCTCATACTTTTTCTGAGCTATGTAAGTAAGTCAGAGGCAGAAGAAGGCCTTGTGTCTGTGGTAAAGCTCTCAGGCCCCCCTCAAGCAGAGGGACCTTTGCTGCTGGAGGAAGAGGGCTAAGGGAGATGGCCCAGTGTGCACAGCCTCCCCAGGAGGGGACCAGACCACACCTTCAGCAGCCATAGCTAAGGAAAACCTATGCTATTTGTTTACCATGGGCATTCTTACACCCGGGGAGGAGGACCCAGGCCTGGGGGCTTTAGTTCAGCCTAGGATTGTCCAGCTGTTCTGGCCTCTATTTAGTTAGGAAACATTGACTCAAATTATCGCAGTTATAAGGCGAATAGGCCCAGCCTCAGCTTCCTAAGAATCTTATAGGATGCTCTCTCACAAGATAACCCTGTGTTTGAGCATGAACTCTGTAGGCCCCCAGTGGGCAAGGGGTGCAGGATCGGTCCTGTCATAGATTGTATGTTCATTAGACCCTAGCCCAGTGGCTTTTAGGAATCAGAAAGCCAGGTTCAGATAGTTGGCTGCCTTTAGAGAAACAGGCACACATTCGTAATGCAGAAGTGCATTATTATATACTATAGGCGTGCCTTTTCTCTTGAATGTAAACAATTTGAGGTCAGGGTTTATGTCTTACACTTGCTTTGTAACTCACGTAGAACTTAGTATGTGCCTGCTAGTTGGTCAGTAACTATTCCTTGGTTGGACAAATTTGAAAGCTTTTGATAATTTACTTTTTAAAATACAGCTTTAACTAGATATTATACAAGTCACCCATTTAAAGAGTACACATAATTTTTAGTGGTTTTTAGTGTATTCACAGAGTTTTGCATCCATCGCCACAGTCAGCTTTATATTTTCATCGCCCCAGAAAGAAACTCCCTAACCATTAGCAGTCATTCCCTCCTCCCCAGCCAACCACAGGTCTACTTTGTCTCTAGAGATTTGCTATTCTGGACATGTCATATAAATAGAATCCTATAATATGTGGCCTTTTGTGACTGGCGACTTTTACTCAGCATAATATTTACAAGGGTCATCCATGCTGTAGCATGTGCCAGTACTTCAGTCCTTGTTTATAGTTGAGGAATAATTCATTGTATGGACAGACCACATTTTGTTTATGCATCAGCTGATAGACATTTGGATTAGCTGGGCGACCTTGGACGTAACCTCTTTGGGCCTCAGTTTTTTCATCTGTACAGTGGTATTATTGGTAATTCACCTATATCATATATGTAGAGCCCCTGAAGCAGTGCTCGCACCCAGTCAGGGATAGAGACAGGCTTACTAGCAGTAGCCCTTGGCCACTGTGCAAGCCGGGTGGCTTCTCCTTTATGCCACTGATTATATAGTAAGTTGGTACCTTTACTTTTGTTTCTGGCATAAATTGTAAAATATTTTTAAAAGTCATTTAGGACATTTATAACACAATAGGATATTTAACATTCAAGACATATTGTTAATTTTTTAAATGTGATACTGGTATTGTGTTATGTTTTTTTAAAGGAATCCTAGCTTCGAGAGAGGTATTTCAAAATATTATGCATAATATAAAATGACATGTAGGATTTACTTCCAGTTATACAGAGGGAGGGCAGTGAAACAGATCGGGCATGTGTTGAAACTCTTGAAGCTAGTAATGGGTACACGAGGATTCATTATTACTGTACTCGGTTCTTTTGCAATTTTTCATAATAAATTGAAAAAACATATTCATTTTTATCGCCTTGTTTCTTCACAAATAGTCTTTCATTAATGTTTAGAGAGACTTTAATCATGAATCAGGATAGCTAGATAAGTGACACTTCCAGGCAACTGTGAGAACTTCTGTAGTGCTAAAGTAAGTCGGAGGCCTCGTGGGAGGGAGTGAGGAGGAAGCTGTTTGGACTTGACTCTTAAGGCGAAAAGAATCTGCTTTTGCAGCAGTTACTGTCTGTACCGCTCTTATTGGGCTTAATTACCTACTACCTGGCCTTGAGCTCTCTAACTGGGCTGTAAAGTTCTAAAGGTCTGCAATTACTCTCATCCACTTTTGCTTCACTCTTCGGGACAGAAGTTTTGTACCAAAAACTAGCTGAAGATCATGTGCAAAACAGTTTAGTCAATATTTTAAAGAAAGAAACTGGAAGTTTATGCCCACAGCCTCCTGCTTTCTTTGTCCTTTGTAGTCAGGATTTCGACCACGGGCTGGATCCCCTCCTTCCTCCCTCCTCTCCTTGTGTTACCTTTTAGCTTTCTTCACTCCTTTCTCCTGCCCTTTTTGACTTTTCTCCCAGCAAGATCACTATGGTACAGTGAACAGAGGTTACTACATCCTCTCATTTATTCATTCCTACCACTTGTTTAGCATAACTTAAAGCCTGGATTCCTGGTGAGACTGTGTCCAATAAAAATCACCCCCAGTCCCCTCTGCCACTCCTAATGCCACGTTCCCCAATACACACGCATGCACGCACACTCTTACCCCCACACCCAGGGCATCTGGAAGAAGGACTGGCACACTCCCCATTCCCCACTGCGTCTTTCAAGCCATATTTTTCATTTCTTGACAGCCTCTTCCCTTCAGGAAAACAACAGTGGAGGATGGTTTTAGATTTGGAAAGTGCATAAACACATAAAAGCAACATCCACAAAATCGACTCTTCTCCATTGCCTTCGTCAGTCATACCTACTGATACCGACAGCACACTAAGTACGCTTGGCTCACACATACTTTCTATTGGGTTGTCAGAAAAGTCATGGCGCATTTTTGTAATGAAAAACACAGAAAAAATACGCCATGACTTTTCCGACAACCCCATAGAATGCCGATGTGCTGCTTCTATCTGGTGAGCTGTATGCTTACTGAAGGTCAGTTATTTGTCCTCAAACCATTGGTATCACTTATATCACCTGTCGTGACTGCATAATTTATTCTTGTGTTGTGTAAACTGAAGCAATATGACTATGAAAAAGAGTCTTACTCCATTAAAATCAAATTGAATGCTTTGGAAAGACCTGATAAAGAAGAGTGTCTTAAAAATGTAATGAAATGACTATGAACAAGGTAACTATTACCGTATTTCCCCATGTATAAGACACTCCCATGTAGAAGACGCACCGTAATTTTGGGGCCCGAAATTTGAAAAAAAATGTATTACATAAAGTTATTAAACTCAAGTTTTATTCATCATAAAATTCATACAACTCCTCATCACTTGCAGGAAATGCAAGTAAAAAAACTACAACCACTGTATAAGATGCACCCAGTTTTTAGACCCCAAATTTTTCAAAAAAGGGTGCATCTTATACATGGGGAAATACGGTAGTTTACAGGGCAGCACTGAGTAAAACTCAGAAGAAATCTGCACTCAGGTTGCCTCACAACGATCTTTCAATTCATTATACTATAAAGAAACAGGAAATGGAATATTCATAGATGTATGTGGTAGTGTTTATCTAAGAAAGATGACCTGTGACCCCAGACCCATCGATATTCAAAGAATATGCTTTGGCCTTATATAAAAAGGTTGGTAGGAGGGCCAGCCGAGTGGCTCAGTTGGTTAAGAGCTCACTCAAGAGTGTGAGCTCTGAGCAACAGGGTCGCTGGTTTGATTCCCAGCCCAAGCTGAGCTGCCGCTGAGCTGCCGGTGAGCTACCAACAGGTGGCAGGATGGCTCAGCTAAAAATAAATAAATAAATAAAATAAATAAATTTAAAAAAAGAAAAAGATTGGTAGGGGAATAAATTGTATATTCACTTGTGCATTTTAAGTTAGATTTACAATATTTTATGATTTCCCACTTTAGCCAACGTTTTTGTCAATCATCCAACTCCTGTTCCCACTTGGGTCAGTTAAGTGGACGAATCCCACATTACCAAAATAATAAATAGTGCTCATTGAAGGAAATTTCGAAAATGTGGTAAAAGAGTGAAGAGAATAAAAATGACCCGTTTTCAGAACACCGTGAGAACATTGTTTTATACATTTGAATTCATACCAAGTTTACAGATCAGTAGGCAACTGAGAACAATCTTTGTCTCCATGAAATCCATAGTCTGTGTGTGTTTCCCCCTCTCCACCACTGATGCCCATTACACATGACCTCCCTGGGTGATTCAGTACCTGATAGTTGTAGCCTCTCTTTTGCTCTCTATATCAGCATTGCTGGAGTCCCTTCTATGTCTGATCTGCTATACTCATCACCTCTACATTCAAATGGTTTTTCCAGCCAGGTGTATATAATCTTATTCCT